CACACACACACACACACACACAGACACAGAGCACATTTGAATTACTTTGGTGATTCTACTGTCACAAACTCCTCTATAAATGCCAACGAGCAACTGTTCTAAGAAAATGTACTCACACTGGACAGTGAATGTCTACAGAAAGCTCAATTGAAAATACAGTACGGGGGCTGGTGAGATGGCTCAGTGGTCTAAAGCACCTACTTAGAACAAGTTTAGCAAAGCACAGGGACCGCGGTTCAATCCCCCAGCACCACATGCCAGCCAGACCCGCCCCCTGGTGGGCTGAGCTGGCCACACACACACACACACACACACACACACAAATAAATAAAATTAAAAAAAAAGAAAGTACAGTATGTTAAGCAATCTAGCTGACTGAAACATAAAATGCCTGCTTGCTACCATGTTCTTAATTGACTTAGAATTAACTAAGAGAATCAGATGTTTATACAAATAATATAATAATATGAGGAAATAAACAAAGGAACTCAGGAGAAAAATGATTAATATGGGTCAATAGAAAGACTAACCAAGGGCTGGCCCGATAGCTCAGTGGATTAAAGTGCCTGCTTAGACAGGTGGAGGGACCAGGGTTCAATCCCAGCCCTGTTGTGGCAGCCCTGGCCCCAGGAACCTCTGAGACTGCAACTGAGCCTGGGAGTGGTGGTGTATGCCTGTAATCCCAGTATTTGTGAAGCTGAAAACAGGAGAATCACTAGGAGTCTAATCTGTGTAGTGAGACCCTATTGACCCTGTACTAACTACATTTAAAAGAAGAAAGAAAGAAAGAAAGAAAGAAAGAAAGAAAGAAAGAAAGAAAGAAAGAAAGACTAACTAGCTTCTAAGTGCCCAGAGTAGAAGTTTCATAAATTTCATCCTGTGCTTATTTGGTAAGAATGACTCCTCTTACATGTAGAATTCTGGTGATCTGAGTCAGATCTTGGATTATTTTAATATAAATGTCACTACAAGCAAGTGTCTAAGTGTCTTAGAAATCTTTGTAGACAAAAAAAGGTCAGCAGTGTTTCACACCAAACTCCTGTCTACCTTGACATTCCATTCTCTCCTCAAGGTTCTGATTATTTTTCAGCTCCTTAATATTTATCTCTCCCTCTTTTTACCCTTCAAATGCTGATTCATACAAAACAAAGCATATAGTAGGTTCTGCAAAATATCTGTGTAATGAATGCACTATAGATGAACTCTTCATTGTATAATAAACTAAATTCTCTAAGTAGAAATATTAGCCATTTTCTTGGAAAGACACTTGAGGTTGAAAGACAACCTAGACCTACAGCAAACCCATTGGTCTGTGCAGGATATAACCTGAAGTAAAAGGGAATCCAGACCTCTGAGAAGAACTTTGCCTACAGTTCAAATTTTTTTTGTTGTTGTTGTTGAACAAAAAGCACATAGCCTAGAGGTGTGTAGGATGGTAGACCTAGCACATGAATTTTCTATTGAAAAATGCTAAATTATTTGACTACAGGGATTTTAGCTTGAAAGTTGAAGAGACATTACCTTATAGGCACAATGCACGTGGTGCGAGGATGGAGACCACGAGACCCTGGTTTCTTACTTGGAAGGAAAGGGCATATGTGTGCTGGTATATGTAAGAACTTGACATGGGGGAAAATCTACAAAATTGTGTTTTTTGCTTTTCTCCTTCAGTGATTCACTGTTAAAGACTGAAATATTTACCAAAATTAAATTCTCTATAGCACTGGAGATTTAAAGGCAGTTAATACTGACATCTTTTGCTTTTCATTGTTAAAATGATTATTCATTTTTGTTGTCTATTTCAAGTGTAAACAAATACTAATAAAGCCAATAGGACCAGCAGCCTTTTCCTGAAAGATAAGAATAAAAATGTTGAACTTTCAGAACCAAGTCCACATGGCTCATTGACTTTGTCTTACCATGGGAAAAATCATTTAACCTCCCAGTGTCAGTTTGCCCATCTATGAAATGAGAAGGATCATAATTTCTTATGGGGATGTTTTGGAAATTATTTTTGCAAATGTAGTGAATGAAATTATTGCAAGCATCACTGGTCTTCTTTCATTTCTTTAAAGCAGCAGACACTATTACTTATGTACCAGTTGGTAGTCAGAATGTCATCTGGCCTGAAAGATGTATACTTGTAAGTAGTTGCATTTCATTTTTTGTACTTAAGGAACCATCCTCCAGCTTGCAGCCTTTGTGCATTAGATCTGTACCACAGAGCCTGAGAAAACTGTCTTAAAGCCATTCTGAGCTTCTTATTTATGAGCTGCTAATCTGTGGTAATTATTCCTTTCTGTCTCGGCTTCTGTTTCCTCTGATGTGCTTTCTTGGCCTCACTCACTTTACAAGATTGATAGTTCTCCATGCTTCCCTGCGAGAGGTCACCTCCAAGCTGAAGGCAAAACACAACCCACTCTGGCTCCTGTTGACTTTCAAGTCAACTAAAAAAGAATTTATTCCAGCAACTTCTAACCTCAATTTTAAAACTCCACCCTAAAGATTACAGGGAGGTATTCTCTGGAGTTTCCACAGTGACTCTAACAGGTTGGCATTGAGAAGACAAGACTCTTGGTATCGGATTTTTATACTTGATAGGCTTAATTATATAATGTGGTCATGAACCTCTGTGCTTGTGTCATTTAGGTCTGGAAAGAAAATTTTCCCTTCAGGCTCTTCTGTTTCTTATGGTGCCAATCAGCAGCCTTCTTAGCAATAAGATTCTTTGTGCCAGTAGCTCCAGCACAACCTCAAGTGGTGCTTGTAGTAATGACAGAATCGTTAAAAAACTAACGAAGCAAGGGGAAATATATTTCCTGGGTGTGATTAAGTCTTCATCAAGTTCTTGCATATGTAAATTATCTTTCGTTTAATGAACCACCTTGCTCACATAATAGTGTTTTAACCTGGCTTTACAAAGTCATTTTTACCCATGTTGGTCATCGTCATCAGACTTGTCAGTAAAAGCATAGATTATTTTTTCTGTGACCACAGATTTTGCTTAATGATTAGAAGTGCATTTGTTAGGTCAATCTATTATAAAATTTACTGTAATAACTTAGTAAAATTCTAAGGAAGATAGAAAACTTGATTTTATATAATAATACTACTTTAAGGATGAGCTTAAAAATAGGTATTTCCTTGATTACAAAAGTAAATGTGTTTATAGGAGAAAAACAAGTACAAAGGAACAATGAAAATTATTACCTATATCTTCTGTACTAGAGTAATCACTGTAAAATGTCCTGCAGGCTGAACTCTAACTCCTGGGCTCAACTCCTACTTCAGCATCTTGTGGAGCTACAACTGAAGAAGTATCCTTCAGTGTCTTGCTTCTATAGTATTTTGATAAATATCTTAAAAAGAGATGTACAGCTTTTAAAGAACAGGTGTATCTTCCACACAGCTACGTATTATAAGAAGCCCTTGTGAGATAGTATTGTTCTGAAATTTTATCAGAAACTGAAGCTACAATTCTAGTATTCATATTTCATAGGCTTTATTCAAAAGTATAAGAACTATAAGGAAAGTATTTGTGTGTGTGTGTGTTCTGTAGCTCCCTTCAGGGCTTCAGTTCACCCGAAGTTCTTCGTGGCTTACTTTTAGCAATGACCCAATCTAGTAGCAGATAATTAATACAAGGCCACGGGAAATTAATGATCATCACGTTAGGCTTTGAATATAAATCTTTATGTGTGCCAACGAGGAAAATAAAGTTCTCCGGAAAATATAAAGGAGTGAAAAGAACTCTTAATATGTCAGTCATGATGTTCTCTGATTAAATATTTTCAATTATTTTTCTGTCTTTTGAAATAACACAGTTTTGTTGGTCTATATTTATCGTTTTGAATGAGAAGTGAAGTTCACTGAAGATCTTGAGAAGTTAATCATTTTATAACATTCATTTACTCAACATTCTTTTTAATCTCCTTCCAGGCAGCCAAGGGCAGGTTCCTCTAACACAGAATGTCACGGTTGTGGAAGGCGGAACTGCAATTTTGACCTGCAGGGTTGATCAAAATGATAACACCTCCCTCCAGTGGTCAAATCCAGCTCAACAGACTCTGTATTTTGATGACAAGAAAGGTGAATACATTTTCTATTCAGTGTTTTAATCATATTCTAAAATATCCTAATTATAATGAATTTATTTTTCTGATATGATTCAAATTATTCCTTTTGATTGCCAAACTGCTTCTGCTTGTATTTAAACATGATAAATATTAAAATACTTTGTATTGCAAGTCATAAACACTAAAGATAACCTATGTCAACTTTTTAATAAAATAAACAGTTCCAATTTTGTTTTAAAAATACTTTTATGCCTTCGCTTAACAATCTTTCTCTAAATATTAGACACTTTAATTCATGTAGCTATCTTGCGTATAGGTTGAATATTTTTCTCACTTGTGGTACTATAATGTTATTTTTATTACACTTAATTTTATATATTTGAAATAGGCTACATGAGTTTGGAATGTTTATTTATTTTATTGTGCATTGGATCTCAAAGTAAAAACTGGAGAAATAATTTCCAAAGTGAGGTTAAGTATGCCTATGTTTCTAAAATAAACTGAAGTTAAGTAAGAAGCTATATTTACTTAAAATTAAGTTGAACTTCATTAATTAGTTTGTGCTTTTAATGTAGCATAATGTACTCTGAATTTCTACTGGAGTTCTTCCTTTTGGTAAATTTAAAATATAGTATATAAGTAGATATTATATATTAATTATTCAATCTAGACTTATATATAGATCTTATTAATTTCTGTAAACAGCAGTGAAATGATTTCAAGTTAGTTTCATTTTAAATATTTAAATGTGTCCAAATAAAGGCTGAAAACTGTGACTCTTCATCAAACCAGGAATTATCTATATTTTATGTACTGGTATATTTTTCCCTCTTTAATGGTTGTCTAGAATTAAAATGAGTTCTTGAGGTTTTGACAAATTGTAGATACATAGTGAAAGATTGATTGTATGCCTAATTCATTGATTCAGTGATCAGGATCCCTTTGTACCAGGTATTAGTGTAAGAAAACAGATAGACAAATGAAATGTCTCTCTGGGGTATGGAGTATAACAGAAGAAACAGACAGTACCAAGTGGACAAACAAAATATATTCAAGAGTACAATGGTAAGGAACATGCAAAAGTGTGGGAGATGCATTATTTAGTATTGTTAAGAGGAAATAGACTGATCAGATAGATGACAGAGAGAGGGGTAAGGTGATTGATTTCTGCTTTAAGAAACTGCTCAGGTGGGTACGGAAAGTGGCCCATGTACAATCTGTGGGCTAGGCGGGCGGCAAGAAGAGCTGCAGGGAAGAACTTCGGATGCAGCTCTGGACCAGGGGCAGCATTCAGGTGGAGATTCCTCTTCCTGGGGGATCTGGCCCTTTCCCTAAGGCCTTTGGGTAACTGCGGAGGCCTAGCAACCTTATAGGTCTTACTCTATTACATACCATGTTACTTGCTAGAGTAACTATTATAGTACTACATTAACCTCTCTTAAAAATAGCTTGTCAACATTTGAACTGAGATTTCACACTAGCTCGCTCTGGTACATGAGAGATACTTTACGAGACGCCCCCTGGATGCTTGAAACTGCAGGTGAAACAGAGCCCTGAGCACACTGTGTCCTTACTTTTCCTGATATTTCTTTTACCTGCAGTCAACTGCAGGTAACTGTAGAATTGCCTGGCCTAGAGTTTAATTTACGAATTTGGTTATATGTACAAATTTAATATAATACCCTATAAGTTAATTTTAAAATACTACTTTTTCTACCCTTGCATAAAATGAAACAATTTTACTTCATAGAATTTTTTGAAAGGAATGGCCCAAGTAACTACTATTCATTTTTATAAATCAGAATATTTTGTTGTGCTCATCCATCCTACAAATACATAAAAACAACCTCTACTTTTTGTGCGATAGTAGAAACTGAACTCAGGGCCTCTGCTCTGAGCCACATTATTGGCTCTTTATTACTACTTTTCTAATTTTAAGACAAGATCTTGTTATGTTGCTAAATTGCCCAGGTTGGGATCAAACTTCTGATCCCCCATCCCAGAGTGCAGAGATGGCAGGCGGGCGCCACTGTGCAGCTACATTCCTTACTTTTAAACAACATGTTTTGCCTTTTAACGAGATCTTTGGCAGTCATGTTTATAGTGACATCTACAATAGCGAGGTCAGGTCCTCAGGCACAAGCACAAAATCTATATTAAGCGCCTTTGCTTCCTCTTTCAGGAATTCTGTAAGTTGTCTTGTACAAGACACCTAAAACTAGAATTGATTTTGAGCACTTCAAAATAATGCGCCCTCCAGTAGAAAATAGAACGGTGTAGAATACAGTGTTTGTAAAGATTTGGAAATCAGGCAAAATACTTATTTCTGAGGGATAATTATGGGGAGGAAAAGCTCATACTGTATTTATGATAGCTTACAACATATTTTTGTACCTTCACACTGCTATAAAACACCACATCTGTCTAGCCAGATTATTTCCTGAAGTATTCACTACTTCATTTAATTTTCTTTTCCAAAAGCATCTTAGAGTTATGTTGCAATAAGTGTGTGTGTGAGTGTGAGTGTGAGAGTGTGTGTGTGTGTGTGTCTGTGTGTGTGTGTCTGTGTGTCTGTGTGCATGTGGTTTACACTCAGCCCTGGCTTTCTTTCTTTCTTTTTTTTTTTCCTTGGTGGAACCGGGGATTGAACTCAGGCCCTTGAGCTTGCCACGGAAGCCCTGGCTTTTGTATCGGGAAATTTCTTAATTTGTTGTTGGGTTTATTGATAATTTTAGTAAAAGAATGAAAAATACTGAGTAAAGAACCCCTTCCATGAACAGCGAACTCACAATTCTCCTTCCTCGTTTATGTTAAGGGACGCCTCAGTGCAATCGATCTGAGGTCAGTAAAGTTCGTCAAATGCAAGAGTTTGGAAATGCAAGCACTTTTAAAGATTCTAGATCACAATTTTCCCACACCATGCTTTGTCTGTATTTATCTGTTGGCCCTCCTTAAACCTAAATTTTGTGTAAAATACAAGTCACGTCGTGTTGGAGCCTGAGTGCATAAGCCAAGCATGAGTTAGAGAACTACCGTAGCCCAGGTATATTATGCCGTTGACAACTGTATAACAGCAACAGAGAAAGAGAATGAGTTTTCTGTGTTCCTAATTATGCAAGTTCTTAAAGGTGGCTGCTACAGTTAAAGGCTCTATCTTTAGCTCGGTGCTTATTTCTGTCTCAGATTTGGTTGCTCGTGACTTTTAGTCCTAGTTACGCAATGCAATTACCCAAGGGGCTTTGCAGTCAGACCAGGTGTACGGAGCACCGGAATGTTTTAATTGCATCTCCAATGATTTTGAAATGCAGCTGAGTTTCAGACATCTTAGGTTATGTAAGTCGGTACTGACAAGTCTTCTGCACCCCTCAGTCTGAATTTCTGAACTAACTTTGCTTAATGAGCAGGGAGAAAGGAAGGACGCAAGGAAGGCAGGCAATAAGGAAAGCAAGGGAGGTTGCTCTGCAGAGCAGAGCGAGTGTAGCTCCCTGGCGTTGTTACTACTGCTGCGAACTTGGATGGCGGAAGTCTACAAAGCACCTGTGTGTGCACGGAGCTGAGAGCGCAGGGTTGTGGCCCCTTGGTAATATTTGTTTTTGTTTTTGTTTTGTTTTGACATTTTTTTCTTGTGTCTTTTTTCATTTATTACCCTTTTATTTTTTTAAACAAATATTTACTTGAGAGACAGTATGGCAATAATTGGTATGTCATGACAAGCAGGACATATTTAGAAGACCAGAATGACAGACAGTCCAAGCATGACCCTACTATTACACATTGCTATTTTCAGTACAGTTGCTTAGTTCACAGGTATCAGCATATATAGTTAGTCAGGGTGAGAATCCTACCAATTAACTGCTAGTTTCCAAAACCTGCTGATGTTTCTCAGGATCATTGCCTTGCCCATCTTGTGTGTATAAATGTATGGCTTTGGCCCTGTCATTTTTCCCAGCTTTTCTCCTTGCCCTCTCCTCATTGTCCAACCCTCAAGTTCTCACCTTCCTTTTGATTGTGTCATACCTTTCCATTGGTAATATTTGAATCAGAAAAAAATTTGCTTATCTGCAATTATTGGCTAAAGAGAAGCATGTTGTGACTCAGCAGTTGATGATGGAAGAGAATTAATCTGAAGCCCCTGTAATGGTCTACTAGAGAGCTTCTCTGTGACTCTCCAGGAATATCCTCATAGGGGACAGCAGGTGTGACTTGAGGGTTTGGCTAAGATGAAACTCACTATGCTACACTTATTATTCAATTAAAAGAAAGAAAAACACAAAATGTAGACATCTAGTAATTTTAGAAATCTAACGTGAGCAGTGGCTTTTTCCCATTGATGCATGGGAATACTGGTATCAAATATCAAGGAATTTTCTCTAGAAACATTCTGCTGCTAATGTATAATAGGGCAGAGATTTTTAACCAGGTACAGTTTTTACTTTCCTTTTCACTGAAATGTCTGAAAAGGAAGGCATCTGGGCACCAGGCCACTGTAAGCGGAACCCCAGCCTCCTCTGCCATTGATCTTTGACAGCCACCTTTTGGTTAAAGAGCAGCACACTCGTTGAAGATATCCGTGGAGCATGGCTGAAGAGTGTGTTAGAGCGGCACTGTCCGGTACTGCTGTGAGCAACTCAGTAGCCGCTGTATATATTTAAATTTAAGTGAAGTAAAATTTCACCAAAATTTAGAATTCCATTTCTCATTCACTCTAGTCAGATTTCAAGTGTTTAGTAGCTAATCTGTGGCTAATAGTTACTATTTGGGAAGCTAGAGCTTAGAGGCTGTAGGTGATATATAAGCCTTATCCAATGATAGCCTTGGCCCCGGGAATATTTGCTTTCTATCACTCCCTTGGAGGTCACAAATGCGCGAATTAAACACTAAATGAATGACATTTCATTGCTTAAATCACAGTATTAAAAGTGACATTGTATCATGGTAGAAAAATCTGATACTTAATCTTGTTTCTAATGTCAGTAAGAAGAGCAATGAGAGTTACCCATAGAGACATCGACA